TTTCGTGGGACTGAACAATGTTCAATTATTAACATATTCATATAACTAAGTAATTTACACAAATTATAATTTATTTACATTATTGTTTGAGTCTATTTCATTTAGAGTAATATAAAAAAAACATTTTAGTTCTTTTTATACTTTTCAAAAGATGTGATTGATAAAGCATAATTAATATAGCTTTGAAATCATGTTCAAATAAAGAATTACAATTAAGATTTTATTAACATAGCAATATTAATTCATGTATTGACTTTAATTGTTTTGTTTTATGTCATTACTGCGTGGCATGCTTGATCATCGTTTTCTGAGCAAGTTAAAATAAGCCAATTTGGATCATATTCGAATTGTTCTTGGAATTGCAAGATTTATGCTTCTTAATAGACATTCTTTAATTATTTAGACATTCATTAAAATCAAATTTATTAGGTTAGTTTACGCGTTAATTATATGGAAGTAGTATGGCATCAACTATATCATTTAAAGAGCGATGGCAAAATAAGTGATTTAAGTCTGTTCTGCATGATCTGTAATTCGTTTGGACTAATGACAAAATAGAATGAAACGGTTCACATAACTCCTATAAAGTTAAATTACAATAAATAAATAAATAAATAAATAAATATATATATATATATATATATATATATATATATATATATGTTTTAGTAAGTCTTAAATCTTCATAATTAGATCTTTTATAATTTAAATTATTATAACCAAGATTATTGATATTTTATATTTTTCTTATGTTTCATACACTAAATACTCGACAACAAAAACACACAAGTACAAGATGTGATATCCCAATTATATAGAAAGAATATATATAATAAGAACGTCATCATGCGTAATATAGGAAAGCAGAAATTAAATAGAATTACGGTCATCCTCAAAATAGTTTCAGAATTTAAACTTAAATTCCAAAGAGATCTAAAATGTATGTTGAAAAGGAAATAGTATTTCAGAATACAGAATCAACTAATGACATCCTAGGAGACTAGGCAAGAGCATTGTCCTCAACTTCCAAAGCTCTCTCCAAAGGAACCTCCTCGCCATCTGCTCCCATCCAAATGGATGATCATCGCAAGAAGAAACATACACAAGCAACACAAACAAGCAAGGGTGAGCTAGATATAAAAATCATGTTATTCAATCACACACGACATGTAAAAGCCACTCAAACATGATACATTGACATCACAAAACTCATTGTTTTATAGACCGACTCGTCCGGACCAAAATGATTGCCGAACTATGGCGGATTATGCACTCGTGGTGGCCTCTACTGCTTTGCAAAGCCGTTGCCAATGGGTTCCACTCTACCACACTCACTCGTGGAGCATACTAGAAGCCTCCAAGACTAGGACCTCCTCTACTCCTCACAACATGGATCAATCCTCTCTACTTGAGAATGAAAGATCATTGGAACGTCAGGAAAACCCCCAAGACTGAGCTACCATGCAATCATTCTACACTAAGGATCTCACCAAGAAATCCTACACAGATGGAACTTGATTTACAACTTGGATCATACTTTCATCACTTTGTAATCAACTTGTTTCATTTTATTTTTATCCTAGTAGAGATCTTTCTCTTTACCCCAATTGGTCACCGGAGAGGACCCAGATGTCTGAACGCATCAAACTCACCTTCGACGCAAGCACATATGACTAGTCACAACTGACTGGACCAGGCCAGAGCTGCTCTATGATAAGGGATGTGCCAACTCAGGTTTTTAAGGTTTCTCTATCCTACCAACAAAGAAAGGCTCTCAATAATTAACAATTAATTTATTTAAATTATTTACATACAAACCCAAAATAGAGCAGTATAGTCAACTAGAGTGCCCTAATCGTGCCTTCATAGAGAAAACCCAAACAATGTCCTACAACCACCTAAATGGTGATGGAAACAGCTCTTAGAGCTAGAATAGACAGAGAATCAAAAGGAGCACCATGCAACCAGTAAAGTTGCATGCCCTAAGTTCAAGAAAAAGTGGAGAAACTGACTTACCCCTCCAAATAGAAATCTAATCGGATAGAAGGGAAGCTCTCAACTCCGTGAGCGAAAGAACACCACCTATTTGAAATTTCAACGATTCAAATGAGTGCAAGGGTAGAGAGAAGGCAGAACAAGAAGGAGAAAATGGAGATGAGTTTAGAGAGAAAGGGGAACTGAAAAATGAACTCAGAGCTGAAAAAATGAGGCCTCTTCTGAGATCCTAGTGTCCTTAGCTTCTTAGGCCAGGCTGCAGGACCCAGTAGTCTTATATTTTCAGACTCTTACACAAGACAACCAATAAGAGCAACATGAGAATGAAGAACAACATAATTGACCTCGTGGTTATACTGATTATTAGTATTAGAGAATTTAGAAGTTATTATTACTACGTTAGGAACTTTTGTTATATATGATCATATTGTTGAATGTATTTCTGTTAAGATGGATGAATAAATCTTTAGATTCCTGACATTGTTGTTAACTTTATATATGACCATTTTATGTTTAATATTTGTTAGGTGTTATTTTGAATTTTATGAGAAATTTTATCATGTTTAGAATTATATAAGACAGGAAAAAATTAATATGATCAAAAGCTGGAACGGATATATCAATACTACTCACAAATAAATTTATGTTTAATTATCGACAGATACAAATAAATTTACGTATAATTATTTCCAGATAAATCGATATTTAGTTACTTATGAATAAATTTATAAATAAATCGCAATTATATATAAATTTATTGATAAATAATTACATTTTTAGATAAATTAGTCTTATTTATGGATTTTGTGTGTTACTTGCAAATTTTTGCAATAAAAAGTACCTTTTTTACGGTGAATGTTTATTATATAAATACAAGTTATTTCTTTTAATAAAAGGGTATATTAATATGAATTAGTGGAAATATATACTTAAAATATATGTATTTATTTTCTAATTATGATAATAAAAAAGATTAATATTTTGTTATACTTATTAAAAAATATATGAGATATAAAATAATTTTATTATGAATATATTTTTTTAAACTATTGGTAGCTAATTAACTTTTAAAAAATAAAAAAATTAAAATATTTTATATTAATAAAGATAACATGTAATAAATATGAACAGTAAAAATAGTTACAAAAACAATTTCTCTTTATTAATAAGTATAATATAATTTTATGTTTTTTAAATAATAGATTCAAAAGGTTGTATATTTATTTGAATTTGGACAAGTCGTTTAATTTAAATTATTTGCTTCCTGATCATTAATAAAAATTATTTTTTAAAAATTTTAACTTTTGTTTTCTAAATTCAAAATTTGTGTTTCATTTATTTTTAACAAATTTTATTATTCGTAAGTTTCACAGAACGTCATGTAATAAAATATTAGTTATTTTGTTTTGTAATGTTAAGTTTTTTGAGTTTGAACTACATAGGAAGTTAAAAATAACCCAACAAATAATCAAAGTGGTTATTAGATCACAAAATACACCAATTTTTTTTATATAAAAAGAGGAAACTATTGTGATTAGATTTAATTATGTCTATTATCAAGTGTCAAGCAAGACATATAATTATGTTTACGTGTTAATTATTGCAAGTAAATAATGCTCTGGTCCCGACTGCAACATTTATGCATTATGTTGTAATGGGAATTGCAATAGGAAAAAAGAAAAAAGTAATTATCTATCAATATTTATGAGAAAACTTAGAAATAAATATTTAGAATAGGTTTGTATGTAAAACTAAATTTTTGAGTTGGACACTGGATTATCATTACAGATTCCGTTGGTCCTAAGTTGAGAAAGAAGGCCATAAATTTGTTCCAATTTACATATGAGAAAAATTTGAAAGGTTATCATAAATCTATCACAATAAAAATTGAATGCATTTTAAGAGAAACAAGTGCTCATATAGTTGATGTAAAATATGTAAATTGTTTCGGGGTATAGTTTGTTGGGATTTAGGTTGATGCTGGTAGAAGACTTGTGGTGCAAATTAAATTAATTGTGTAGAAGATTGGATGACTTAGGTTTTTTTTTCCAAGTCTTTCGTTCGAAAAGATATTTATAAAAGATAATTTGATATTAAAATTATTAAATAATTGTTGAATTAATAATATTATTAAAGTTATACTTGAAATATTTATATATAATAATTGAAATATTATCTTAATTTATATTAGAAAAATAATGAATTATTACAGTTGATAATCTAATTATGTTAAGACTGATTGATTATACTATAATCAATTGGTCATCCTCAGTCGACTATGTTAATATTTGGTTTGGATGAATGATCTTATGGTCTTGATTGGTGTTTAGATTGACTTTACAATATACAAAATATTAATATTAATAAAATATTTAAATTAATATTCAATAAATATCAATAAAATATTATTATTTATAATAAAATATTAATCTTATTAGTAAATAAAATTTTGAATCAATGATAAAAATATCCTAAAATTGTCATTTACCAGCATTAAAGTGTACTAATTTATTAGTTTTGGTGTAACATTAGAATTATTAATACGAATTTACATTATTAAATTAGTATTTTACATTCTTAAAATTATATAAATATTAATTTAATTATAATATTTAACCAGAACAGTGTAATCAATGAGAGCGAGATTCTAGTTTGAAAAGAAAAAAGAGTCAGGTTGGATAAACAAAGCAAGTTTTGCACTTTAAAAAGAAAATTATTTTGGGTAAATTTCTTCAATAATTCTTCATATGCCTAAAAATTAGACATGTATTGTTTTTAATTTATTACCTATCAAGAAAGATTGAAAGAGACGAGGAGGACAAAATGGTTCCTTAAACGACAAGGAATAGATCAAACTCCTCAAAAAGAGAAAAAAGAAAACATCCACACTGATAAATTTAGATAGATACTTACATATGCTGGACGTTGGATTTGCATCCAACGGTTGTGATGGGCTGCACGTGTAAACACGTGAAATGGTGTCTGCTATAAACATACGTGGTGTGGCGTGAGAAACTGGAACAGAAATGGAGTTTCAGGGTTTACCAGAAGGCTGCATCGCTCTCATTCTCTCTCGCACCACGCCCGTCGATGCGTGCCGCTTCTCTCTCGTTTCAAAGCTTTTCAATTCCGCCGCAGGCTCCGACGCTGTTTGGGAATGTTTTCTTCCTTCCGATTACCTTTCCATAATTTCTGAATGCTCTCTTCCCAATTATCCCTCTAAGAAAGCCCTTTACCTCGCTCTGGCAGATCACCCTGTCATCATCGATGAGGGCAAGAAGGTAAAACCCGTGCATTTTTCACATCTCTTCAAACTTTCTCTGTTGCTTTGGTATGGCAATTAACTGTGCAACCTGTGGAACGCAGAGTTTTCAATTGGAGAAAAAGAGTGGGAAAAAGTGTTACATGCTTGCTGCCAGGGCTCTCTCCATTGTTTGGGGCGGCACTGAGCAATATTGGAACTGGACAACTGACCCCGATTCCAGGTCAATTTTTTTGTTCATTGATACTAATTGTTGTTTGATCTCTGTTAGTGTATCTGCATTTTTATAATACCGTATATGTGCTGATCTTCAACTTTTGAGTGGTTGGACTCAGGATAGGATATTTTCTTCATGCCTTGGAGATCTGTATATGGTTTTCCTTTTTTAAATAGTTAGAGTTTATGAAAATAATGCTCTCTCCCTTGTTGGATAAGAATTATTCCTATCAATTGATGTTTTTATTGAGAGAATTGAAGACGGAGGGATCAGTGAATTGACATTCTTAATGCTTGGGTGGTGGCTGTTGTGCATTTAAAAAATAAAAGGGCTTTCTGCCTGATCAATTGTTAAAGTTGAAATAACATACAGTACAGCTTAATTAAGCTAAACTGGGTTTCTTCATGACTAGAATTGGGGGCATTACCTCGTCCCTTTCAGCTCCACATTCTAAAGCATGAGAAAGATTTCACTACCAACAGCAGCAATTGGAGCTGTTTAACTTATTTTTGGTTGGTGGATCTGAGTAAAACAAAAACATGAGATTTTTTTTTGTGTTAGTGTTTCCCTCATCAGATAAGTCTTGTTCCTATGACCTTAATGGGCTCAAATCTGATATTCAATAACAGTGAAGGTGTCCAACTGTATAATAATTCTTTTCAAATATGGTTTACTATTGTCATGCTTGACAATTTCTAGAGCCCAAATCAGTTATGCTGTCAATACTCACTTAGATGCAGATGCAGATGCAGTCCATCATTGTGTGCTCAAATATTTGGAAGGCACTTCTGGCTAGGATCTCATATTTTCTGCCACTTCGTGCTTACACTTGCAGGTCTAAGCAGTTCCATAATAGTGCACACATATGGGCACCTGCAGACCCTAAGAAGTTTACTGTGTTTTGTCTTGACTTTCAAACCTTTAAGTCTCATGGGTAAATAGGAATCCTGATATTAGGCAAGCTAGTAAGTTAGTTTCTCTTCATTTTCCGAGGAATTGACTTGTCTCTTGTAAAACAAAGAAGCAATCTAATGTCAGCGGTCATCAATTCATCTGCAGGCTAATTATAGGTCCTTAGCAGCTGTGGAAAGTAAATTAACTTGGTATTGTTTTTCCAGCATAATTTATGCATTTCTTCAACTCTATCCCTTATTTAGTTATTGTAATAACAACAGCTATCCAATTGCTTCCAAATCCTCTGATAAGATGATGAAGAATAGACATTACCTGACATATGTTTAGGGAAAAGTATGGTGGTCTCATGTTGGTTCATGTTTGTAGTCACCATCAACATGCTAGCATAGCATATGTATGGATAAAAGTTCGGAAAGTACTTTTGGGAATTCTAGTACTCATTCCTGAATTCCTATACAAAACGAAGAAGGAAGATTTAGTGTTTTTTAAGGTCACAGTAATGTATCTACTCCTGTATAATTATGAATCAATGAATTACTCAGCACTTTTCAGTTTCTTGTTTCAGTGGATACTGTCCTGATTATGGATGCTATCTTTTCTTATGAGACTTCATCGTCACTAATTATTCCTGTCCTTTGTAATTTCTTCGTAAACTTTTGAACAGGTTCCCGGAAGTTGCTGAACTCAGAGACGTGTGTTGGCTTGAAATTCGTGGGGTGTTTAATACCCTTACCTTGTCCCCGGATACTCAGTATGCTGCTTATTTTGTTTTCAAGATGATCAATCCCAGTGGATTTAGAAACCGCCGTGTAGAGGTATCAGTTGATTTCAATGGTGACGATACCAAAAATGTGTGTTTGGATGGATCATCAGACGGTACAAGAGTTGCAGGTTTGCAGCGTCCCAGTTTACGAAGTGATGGGTGGTTGGAGATTGAGATGGGAGACTTCTTCAATGTTGGCTTAGAAGATGAAGTGCAGATGAGTGTGAAGGAGGTAAAGGGTGGTAATTGGAAGTCTGGCCTCTTTGTTGAAGGAATAGAGGTTAGGCCAAAGTATGAGAATTAACCAACCGGTATTTACTGTATAATTTAATTCACGGGACTGCATATGCGTGGCTCTTGTTTTTAGATGGCACTGGCACAATGCTGCATACATATTTTAAGCATAGCATTGACCCTTCAACTATGATGTGTTTTCGTACCAGACATGTACTTCCAACTTCAAAAATTCAGTTCCTCTTTGCAGGAACAAAAAAAAAACCCTAATATCAAACATGTTGCTATGTTGAATACATTTTCCTCATCTGTCATATCATTTACTGAGTTCGTCTAACAACACAATTTTAGGGTCATGTCACAACTAATCAGCCATTCAAAAACTTTCTTAATACAAAATATAAAAGTGGATATCCAATCAGCTCATACATTTCATATTTTATTTGTAATATCTACACTAAATAATTATTAACCCACACAACCAACTCAACTGGTTATTCAACACATGTAGGGGTATCACCCTTCGCATATGCATCCTTACAAATGGTCAAATTTTGAGTTCAAAATTTATCATTATTTTTCACATATGTATCCTTACCAATTGAAAGGGTTACACTACACTTAAAGGATTTCAATAGAATTAAAGATCAACGAAAACATTACTTCATAACTTAAATGATGTAAGAAATATGAAAGCAAAAGTTTCTAAAAAAAGATTTGTAATTAAATAAGATAGTGAGTCAATTCATTAATCCATAAAATGAAAATAATTTTGTTAATTATAATTAAATCCATAAATAATTACTAATATTGACATAATTAAAAGACATAGTCTTATTTTGAGCTGTGAAACATGAAAATCACATTATTTATGTTAATTTTCATCCAAAACCCTAAATCCTAAACTCTAATTAACAATAATAACATACAATAACGATTGAATATATACAAGTATAATAGTAATATACAAAAGTATAACGATTGAATATATACAAAGTATAACGATTGAATATCAAACTTTATATATGATATAAAAATTATCCAAATACAAAAATATGTATATGTAATACTAATATATATGTCAATTTTTAACTTATCTTACTTTATCTTAAATCATTGAAAAATAATAATATAGAGTGTAATGATTGAACATCAAATTTTATATCTGATAAAAAAAATTATCGAAATATAAAATATGTACGTATAATACCAATATAAGACGTAAAACATATAAATGATTAATTCTCACTAAACATAAATTTCTGAAACTGTATAATACTCATCGAAATAATGTGTTCATGAAATATCTTGGGTGGAAGGCCCTTCGTAAGAGGATTCGCTATTATGAATCATATCCTTACATGTTTTATGAAAATTTGTTCACTTTATACTCTGTTAAGAGTATGTACCTCGTGAAAAACATTTAATTTATAATGATAAGCTTATAATTATTCTTTTTAGGTTTTACTCTCTCTCTTTCTATCCTTTATTCTCTCCTTCCTGTACCGTTCTTCTTAAAGATATGCTTCTTGTTTTTATATAGAGACTCAAGTAAAGAAACTACTCATAGTTTCCAAAGAATGTGTTTGTTTAAGGCATCCTTTGAGGTTTATGTCCTACAACTTTCTTGGAATATGATGAGTGTGCTCTCGGTTTATTACGAGTATATAGGCAATCCAGTCCACTCGACGATCAGAACAACATTATTTTATATGACTTATCATTAAACCAAACTAGCAATACTACTTACTTGATAGATTAATACTCCTTTCTTAATTTCAGAAATTTGATATCAAATATGTAAGATTCGAAAAAGTTATTTATGATTGAATAATTTTATTTGTATTAATAAAAAAAATACATTTGTTTCAGTATATATTACCTAATTCGTAAGAACTTTTGTTGAGTTATAATGTCTTAGGTTCTATATTTGTATGGTAAAATATTTATTTAATTGCTTTAATAATTTACTAGTATAGGAAAATGCATGGTATATAATTTATATTTATATAAAAATAAAAAATACATAAACAAATAAAAGAAATGTGACCATGAGTGAACGAAAATATGTTCTCACAGAAAAAGTCTCTCCTAAGTTAAAACATGTGTCATCTTTTATGTTTTTTCTTATTCTCACTTGAATAAGTGATTATTTTTATATGAATATTTTATCTTTGTTGTTTAGATTTATATTATATTTATTGATAGAGATATTTGTTTAATATCATTAAAATTAATTTAAATACTTTAATAATAATATTTTAATTTATTCATTAAATATATATTACTGTCACATAAATAGAATGTAAATTAGGTGAAGTCCAATCGAGTGGAGCCTGATAAGATATTATATCTAAGTTAGAACACTACAAAAATAATAAAAATTAAATATAAATATAAATATACAGATAAAAATATAAATAATATGAAAATTCTATATCTATTAATATAGATATAAAATAAAAGTTAATTTTTACTTTAAAAATAAAAATAATGTAACTGATTCGAACAATTATTATGACTATCTTTCCGCAAGCCCTTGAATCCGGACCTTTCTGCAGAATAGAGTATATAATTCCCTCTCATTTAACAAGAAATAATTGTTTTCTAGCAGACTAATTTATATATAATAAAATATTAAAAAGGATAAGGAGAACGAAAGGGATGTAGAAATCCAATAAAGTTAAAAGATCCTTTTTTTTCTTTCTTTCACTATCTTCCTTTTCTTCAACAATCGTGTGGCTGACGCCATTCTCTTAACCGCTAAGCTTCCCTCTTCTCACATCCCTATATATATTGACACAACACATCCATACTCATCTTATTCTCGTTCGCGTTCGCTTTCGTTCTTCCTGTTACAATGGCCGAGGAATTCAACAACCTTCCCGAAGGTTGCATTGCCACTATTCTCTCCTTAACATCTCCGAGGGATGCTTGCAGGCTTTCTCTCGTTTCATCCACTTTCCTATCCGCCGCTGAATCCGACGCTGTCTGGCACAAGTTTCTGCCTTCCGATTTCCACACCCTCCTTTCCCAATATCCCTCCTCATCTTTCCCTTCCAAGAAACACCTCTATCTCCACCTCTGCCAGAATCCCCTCCTCATTGATAATGGCAAAAAGGTACCTTTTTTATCTTTCATTTCATATTCTGAATTCCACGCATCAAACTTTTCATCGGTTTCTTACTTATTTTTTTCTCTTGGGTCTTTTCCTTTCTCATCTCGTAGTTTCAATTTGTTCTGATTTAGTGTGTGTGTGCGTGCGCGCGATGTTGTATTAATGTGGGAAATCGAATTATGCAGAGCTTTCAACTGGATAAAGTGTACGGAAAGAAATGCTACATGTTATCAGCCAGGACTCTCTTCATTGTATGGGGAGATACTCCCAGGTATTGGGCTTGGACTTCTCTACCAGATGCCAGGTAACCAATTCAACCATTACGGTTTTAACTTTTGCAATTTCCCATGTAGTTCTTAATGTTCTAATTAAGAATCTATCACTGTCTATAAAGGTAATCAATGAGATGAAGTTTCAATTCTCCCACGAGAACAACATCAGAATCACACCATCCTTAAATTATTTGATTAAACATGGTGTATGACGCATGCGCTCTGAATTGTTTTACCTATTTCTATCCTGTATGATTGTAGATATGATTTTGGAATAGACATATATGTGAATAAACTTTCCTACAAACACCTTCAAGCAAGAACGTAATAAAGAAACAATGAATGAACTTCTTTGTTTAGATCATGTACCAACAAGGTTGCAGTACATCTTGTATACTTTTTTCATTATTGCTTCTCTCTTTAACTTAGAATAGGGTCTCAGATTTGTGCATTATGGATTGTAGTTTAATAAGATTGGAATTGCAGGTTTTCTGAGGTGGCTGAGCTTGTGAGTGTGTGTTGGTTGGAAATTCGGGGCTGGATAAACACTGGCATGCTGTCCCCCAAAACACTGTATGGGGCATACCTTGTGTTCAGGCCAAGCCCTTCAGGAATCTACGGGTTCGATTACCAGTCGGTTGAAGTGTCTATTAGAATTGCTGGAGGTGAAGTTTCCAAGCGAATCGTTTACTTGGATGCTGAAAGAGGACGGAGGCTAAGGTACCAGATTGTTCCTCGCCGCATATTCAACCGTGCACGTTTTCTTACCAGTGTTGAGGCACCCCTAGCAGAACATAACAGCAATAACAATCGTAACAACAACAGAAACAACAACAGTTTTGATTTTCAGTATCCAAACATCAACAATAACAACATAAACAACAACAGTTTTGATTTTCAGTATCCAAACATCAACGATAACAACAGGAACAACGACAGTTTTGATCTTCAGTATCCAAAGGAGAGAGGAGATGGGTGGATGGAGGTGGAATTGGGAGATTTCTTCAACGATGGGGAAGATGACAAGGAAGTGGAAATGGGTGCTTGTGAGATCAAGAGTGGTGATTGGAAGGGTGGCCTTGTTCTTCAAGGAATCGAAATAAGGCCTAAAACAGTACGCCATTAGTCAAGTCTCTGTTCATGTTTTGCTTCTCGTACAAATGTTCTTTTCGATTGTGTTCAATTTTGAAGCTTCCATTAGTAAACCAAATTGTTGCCATGCGAATGAATTGTTTGATCTCGATTTGGGGATATGTTTGTTCCTTATGTCCTGCTACACTGATTTATGTTTATCTTGTAAAACATTTTATACTTCAGTTGTCAATATTATATCAAATAGGTAAGATTTTGTCAGAATTTTATAAATTCATATGAATAAGATGATGATAAGCATCAAATTGCAGATGAGATAACAGTGCCAAATAAAAATTTGACAAGAAGATTTGTTCCTCCGATAAGCACTCCTTGCTCTAGAAAGGTCATTAGTTTTATTCTCCTTTTTGGGCCCTTTCTTATTAAAGAGGTCTGAACAAAGTGTTGACGTGTAGTCTGATTCTTAAACAAGAAAGTGTCCTATTTTACTTTCTGATGAAGTTTGCTTCAATTAGTGTATTGATTTGTTATCAATTTTGTTAGTTTATTTTAAAATTTAATTACAATATTTTGGTAAGTAATTTTTTTACGTATTTATCAAAATTATTAGTTTTTATAGTAAGTTTTTAAAATATACGTTTTCTAAGGTGAAAAATATATTAAAATTAAATTCGCTACTTATTTGCTAAGATACATGACATGATAGTGTGCATAAAGATGTTTCATAATTTATAATTTATTTCGTTTTTCGCAGGACGAAAGTTAGTTTATAAAACAGAGCTTATGTAGTTTTTAATTTTTGTTTTATGTAAGTTGAAAACATTATTAATCTTTTTTTTTTATAAAAGTCCTTTTAAAGAGTTCAATGTACATTTAGTTTAATTTAGACATCTAACTATTTTCTTTAATGCTTGGTTGATTCTGCTATACTTCCGTGTCACAGTGAATCTTCTTAAATGGCCATTTTTTTTGGTAGATGAAGTTTTGTGTTTTCTTTCCAAATTACTCTACTTTTTTCTTTTACATTTGCTGTGCAATTTTTCAAAAACTTATGAATATAAATAAGTACTTCTAACTTCATAGGTATGAATAAATCGTGTCAAGCCTATAACCTAATATTTTTAAGTTGAAATTTAGTTTAATATGGAAGTTGTATCAAAAGAACACAATCTTTAGAGTTTTAAGAATATTCTTAATATTATCTATTTAATAAATAATTTTTTTTAGAAAATATGCTACTTTAGTAAAAGAAGCCTAATTTAATTGAATATTATAAATATATATTATCATTTAAAAATAATAAAAAGTAGTTTGAAAAAAATGATATAATAACTATGGAATTAATGATAAATAATTACCATCAGTTTTAATAAGAAAAAAAGGTTCTATGTAAAATATTTAAATTTATATATGAAAATAAAAATCAGAAAACAACCCATATATCAGGTTTTGCTCCTTATTTATATTTCTATTGATATTTCAAAATTAGTGCCTCGAAGAAATCAAATTTTATTTGGGTTGGCCTAATTAACCAAGCTCTTGGAATTAAACTAATATAGTTATATATTTTTCATTCCTTAGAAATAATTGTTTTTTTTAAAAAAATGATTATTTTGAATGAGCTAATTCGAACACTCTAATCTTACAATTAGTTACAACATTAAGCTTAATTTTGACACATGTAAAAGGAAATCCATCAGCGCATGAGAATCACGGGATCGATATCTTAATTCTTAAGAAAGAACATGAATCATAAGATTCGATGTCAAAGGTGCATAAATGTTCTCTGAGATGTTTCTGCCGTGTCTGCTGCGTGTGTAACTAATTGCAGTTCAAGACCATCCACCAACTTAATCAAGTTTTCCAACGTTCAACCATTCTATCTTTTCAAACTCAACTTAAGCAAGTTTGGTTCAGTTGAATTGAGTTGATTTTTCAGAGAAAATGGGGTAATTTTCATTCTTACTCTCACTGCACACATTCACAAAAACAAATGAAACAATCACACATAACTGTAGTAGCATGTGGCAACATGTGATCTTCAACTTTCTGTTCCCTAATAATTTACAACATGATAGATTAAACTTAGGAGGTCATATGTAGATGCTACTAACAATGCAAAAAGACAAGATTCAAATTAGAGGTCAACGATATACACTGCATGCACATGAATTCTACGGAGAAAATAAAGTGTAAATTGTCAGCTTCTTCATTTAGTCGTCAAAAAATAAATTACACACTTTAGTTTGTCGTTTCACCCATTCTCTTCAATAGTCTAACATGAAAATTTTGAGGTGTTATTGTTCTAATTAAGTGTGTCAAGTGATATCGTTTTGATATTTATCATACATTTAAAGTATTATTTGTTTGAAATATGTAATTCTATTTTAACAAATTATAAATTTCATTAAAATATATTTTATAATTCATAATTACGATAGCATAATAAGATTAAGTATAAAAAAATCTATTCGTAAAAGAAAGTTTGCCTGATAAATATGTATGTTGTAAATTAACCTTTTCAAGAACTTTCAGCACCCCCCTCGAAAGAATGGAAATATGATGGTTGTAAAAATACTATTATTTTTTTTAAATTTGGAAGTTGACATTTACGAAGCTGTTAATCCGGCACAAATGCCAGTTGATGTAGGCATTTAAAATGGATACCATAAACGGCTGTCTCTGATTCATCTGTGTAGAAAAAAAAATAATTGTAATGAAATTGATTCAATCAATAAAAATTAACATCATAGCTTTCAAGATTTTTTTAATATAATTAACTGGCCGTATGTATTATAATTCAGTTTTATAATGCATTATCTAATTAATAAACAGAAGATTAATTTCTCAATATAAAAAAGTGTTTCTTTTGATGATTAAAATACTATTTTATTCGTTTTCAAAAAAGTTTTGGTAAAGCCGACTAATTTCTTTCTAAGCACAAGGTTATCAACATAAAATATTTAATTAACATATATAACCAAGAAACTCAACTGCTAATTGTTACAAACTCAAGTAAGAAAATCAAAGTTAAACTCTAAAAATACAGAATAATCCTTTCACCCTGTAATTATTTTTACCGTAATCTCGCCCTCATATTCCCTGGCATCTGATTTTGTTTATGTCAACAAATTGATGATACCTATTGCATAAATAAATAATACTTTACTGAATTTTATAATTTGAAGTCATTATCAATCTAGCACTACATAGACATGAGAAGCCTATATGAGTTGCTTGTTTGAAGCCAAATATCTCATTGTTCTCTATCTGCTTAAACCTTAGAAATAATCAATGGAGGCTCATTTTGTGGCTCCCTTTCCATTGATGTTTCTGATCACTCTTTGGCTTTTACTGGCTCATCATGCCAAAGCTGAAAGTTCCACATATGTAGTTCACATGGACAAGTCGCTCATGCCTCAACTCTTTGCAAGCCATCATGATTGGTATGAATCCATCATCCATTCCATAGACTTGGCAATAGCTGATGATCCATCAAAGCAACAAGAGCTGAAACTAGTGTACACTTATGATAATGCCATGCATGGATTCAGTGCAGTGTTATCATCAGAGGAGTTGGAGAGCCTAAAGAAAGTTGATGGCTTTGTGACAGCTTATCCTGACAGGTCTGCCACCGTAGACACCACACACACCTTTGAGTTTCTGTCATTGGACACCCCCGGAGGAATATGGAATGCTTCAAATTTTGGGGAGGGTGTCATTGTGGGTCTCATAGACACTGGAATATGGCCTGAAAGTGCCAGTTTCAAAGATGATGGCATGACCAGAAATATCCCATCCAAATGGAAAGGAACATGCGAGCCAGGACAAGACTTTGATGCCTCCATCTGTAACTTCAAATTGATTGGAGCCAGGTACTTCAACAAGGGTGTGAAAGCAGCGAATCCAAATGTCACAATCAGCATGAACTCAGCGAGAGACACTCAGGGTCATGGAAGCCACACATCATCTACTGTTGCTGGCAATTATGTGAATGGTGCCTCTTTCTTTGGCTACGCCAAAGGGGTAGCCAGAGGCGTTGCACCTCGAGCTAGGCTTGCCATGTATAAGGTCCTTTGGGATGAAGGGCGTCAAGCCTCTGATGTTCTTGCAGGAATGGACCAAGCCATTGCTGATGGGGTTGATGTCATTTCCATTTCTTTGGGTTTTGACAGTGTTCCGCTTTATGAGGATCCTGTGGCAATAGCTGCTTTTGCAGCAATGGAAAAGGGGGTTCTGGTTTCATCTTCAGCTGGCAATGAAGGTCCTGATATTGGTACTTTGCATAATGGAATCCCTTGGGTCCTAACAGTTGCAGCAGGCACCATAGACCGAACTTTTGGCAGTTTGGCTCTTGGCAATGGCCAAACCATTGTGGGTTGGACCTTGTTTGCAGCAAACTCCATAGTGGAGAATTTTCCACTTATTTACAACAAGAATCTATCGGCGTGCAACTCGGTTAAACTGTTATCCGAAGCAGCCACAAGAGGGATCATTATATGTGATGCCTTTGACTCAATTTCTGTCCTTGAGCAAATAGATCTTGTTACTGCAGCCAGTGTGGTAGGAGCTGTGTTTATCTGCGAGGATCCACGGCTACTTGAAACAGGACGTTTGTCTTCTCCAAGCATTGTGATCAGCCCAAGTGATGCACCATCCGTGATCAAGTACGCAAAAAGTGTTGAGAATCCCTTTGCCAGCATCAACTTTCAACAAACGTTTGTTGGAATAAAGCCAGCACCAGCTGCTGCATATTACACTTCAAGAGGTCCTTCACCAAGCTACCCGGGGATCTTAAAGCCTGATGTAATGGCACCTGGCTCAAATGTTCTGGCTGCTTTTGTTCCAAATAAAGCTTCAGCTAGAATTGGCACAAATGTGCTTCTCTCTAGCGACTACAATTTTTTGTCCGGAACATCCATGGCATGTCCTCATGCATCTGGTGTTGCTGCTCTTCTAAAAGCAGCACACCCTGATTGGAGTGCAGCTGCTATAAGATCTGCACTGGTCACCACTGCCAACCCTTTTGACAACACTCAAAGTCCAATTAGGGATAATGGTAACCCATTGCAATATGCTTCTCCTCTTGCCATGGGAGCTGGTGAGATTGATCCTAACAAAGCACTTGATCCAGGTTTCATATATGATGCCACCCCTCAGGACTATGTTAACCT